TCATCTGAATCTTATCCTTTTCTTCTTTGTCTAATCCAAAAGTAAGTATTTCCATCTAATGATGTGCCCCGCCAATACCAATCTATATACCAGTTGGGAATGACATTAGGAGCCCTCCATGAATCAGACTTAAAATCGTAAATTTTGTCACATCCAAGAGCATCTATGGGTAATCCTGTAATCACATACAAGTTTACCAAAGAATTCAAAGAAATCACAAATTGTTTTATATTGAAAACGATGAGCTAAACAGTGCTCATATAGTCTCTAACGGCCATCTACGATCTGCCAATCACCACCTGCCACGCGTTGATTCCAGACTCTTCTTATTTTGCCACTTGAATCCGCACGTGCCAACCCACACGTGTAATACTATATCACAGTAAAAGACTTTAGATATCTCAACTCGGTTATTAAGTAAAATACCAACCTCCTTTATTGATGGGTAAACGAATTCTAAACCGTCTTCGTTAAGGATTCCATGGAAATTGAACCTCATTGAACAAAGCCTATAATCCAACAACATGAACCCTAGAAAGTAGAAACTGTTGTTTTGGTTCTCCTATACATAGAATCCGTTCTTTGGATAAAGCGTTCCATCCTTTGCAAGTAGATCTCACTGCTCCTAGAGAAGTTATAGGAACCCTACACAGTATCTCCTCTACCAAATCCTGCGTAAGATCGCTCATCATCGTCATTGTTTTCAAATAAGAAAATTAGGGTTTCTAACTTTCACGCCTGCCACTCGTACGTATATATGCGTAACACATCTTTGCCCAAATCTTTTTTTTCTTTTGTAACCTTCACAGAGATAAATATGTATAAGCCTTGCAAAATGTTAAATAGACAAAAAAGAAAATGGAAATTTTTTTCTCATAAAATTGTTAGTAAAATAGACTTCCGAAACGGAAAGCATTCTTGCGATTGACGAAAAAAAAAAAAGCATTCTTGCGATTGTAACAATTGTTTTCTCTCTACAAAAACTTCCTAACATATCGGGTGAAAGATCGACATTGGTGCATATAAGAACAGATCATTTGCTTGCTTAGCTTATATTGATAATTACTTAGAAGCTTTGTTTTTGAACTAGAAGAGACATTTACAGTTTTGTTCTTCAACTAAGTATTTCTTTTTTCTTAATAAATGAAATCAGAAAACACCAGTTGTATCAATATATATGTAAACTATATATGCCGGTAAAATTAAAAGAGCAAAGAACTACGTTTATGATCAGCTAAAACTGTATTGTCTTGTTCAAACGACATTGCAAAATGAACTAACAAAAAGAAAAAAAACAAATGAAAAGGAGATGCAAGAAAAAAGAAGAAGAAGAAGATATTATTGGTAAGTAGTAGTCTCTTTCTTACGTTTTGCTCTTCCTCTTCCTCTTCTTATCTTTCCCTTTTGCGTCCACCATTTTGGTTGATTTGCACATATCTTCCTCTTCCTCTTCCTCTTCAATTTGGTTGATCTTCTCTAAACTTGGAACATAAGAGCTAGAACACACAAGTGCGCTACGATACACGCCTTCTCTGACCTCCACAGCTTCTCCAAGAACCACTTTTCTCAAGTATCCCTTCACTCCAACGATATAAGCCGTGTGGTAACAACGTTTCTTCTTGGTCCTTTTATCAGATTTTCTGTCTAAATTAAAAACCACCGCGAGTTTCTTCTCTTCGTCAATAAAAAAACTGCCAGCTTCATCTCTACAATATTGAAAACCAAACCTAATGAGTGGTTCCATATCAACTTTAAACAAGTTGCTCCACAACACCTCATTGGACTCAATCTTAGTAGTCACCCAAATGGCCATCTCGCTCGCTTGCGTTTTAATCTTCTTCCCCCCATGATTCAGTCTTCAAATTGAAAAATTTGTAGTTGTAATACTGATCGTACAACCTCAAGATCTTGTGGTTCTTGTCCTTGTCGTATCCTAGAGCAAACATGTCTGATTCGTCGTGAGGTTCTCTTGTTTCGATCCACTTGGTTTGACCCAAATACGGATTCCAAACCACGAGACTTGAGTTGTCATTTGTGACGCACAACACTAAACCATCGCAATGAAACACTTTAGAGATGTCGATTTGATTAACTATATCACCTACCTCCTTGATAGATGGACGAACAAAGACTTCACCGTCTCCTTTGAGGATTCCGTGGAGATTGAATGTCATTGAAAGAAACCTATGATCCATCACCATGAACCTCAGAAACTGCTCCCTTGGTTCTGCTTTACACAACAGCCGGTCTTTGGATGAGGCGTTCCATTGTTTGCGAGTGGATCTCACTGCTCCTAGAGAAGTTATCAGAGCCTTAGAGAGTATCTCCTCTACCAAATCCTTGGAAAGATCAGACATCATCGTCATTCTTGTCAAATGGAAAATTAGGGTTTTGGTTTTTTCTAACTTCCACGCTTGCCCAGTACGCCCACTCTTTGTATATGCGTCTACTAAATAAGTGTGTGTTGTTGTTTTTTTTTCTTTCTAATAACTTTCACAACGCAACCCTAAATATGTTAAGGAATTCCTTAAACTTCCCTTAAATTAATCCTATATAATCAATCACATTTACTTCTGTAACCACATGAACTTCCTCGCTTGCCCACTACTCCCACTCTTTATATATGCGTCTACTAAATAAGTGTTTTTTTTTTTCTAATAACTTTCATAACGAATAACGATACCCTAAATATGTTAAGGAAACTCATATCATCTATCATTATTCAAATCCCTTAAATTAATCCTATATAATCAATCACATCTACTTCTGTAATCCCTATGATTGTGCTCTTCTTTTTTTTTTTTTATAAACTTAAGTACTCTAATTCATTAAATATACAAATTTAAGGAAATGAAGTAAGAAACAAGCTATAGTCATAAAATTAGTTGCTTGGCACATCAAAGGCTCCCATATATATGATTGGTGAAAGTCTTTTGTGCATGGACTGATGGCCTTTGTTGTTTGCACATTATCTCTTTGGACTCTTCCTTATATCTTGTTGTGGTTGATAGAGGCTCCACCTTCTTGATGAATGATGATCATGCACAAATACTTTCACCAATCATATATATAGGAGCCAGAATCCAATCGCCATCAGTTGCAAACAATAATAGTTTTCAGTACGACAAATAAATAAGCAAATCTAGAATAGACTAGACTTGTTAAAAAAAAACAGAGTAAATGAATGATAAGGAGATGGATGATACAAGAAACAAATAAGGTATTGTAAAAAGGACGGATTGATGATCTGGTTCTTTCCTTTTGCTCGATAGGCGATGTACTAAACCTTGGTTGATTTACGCAAAACTTTTGGCCATTAGGTGATTTTACTAGGCCTTGGTTGATTCGCTCTAAACTTGGATCATAAGAGCATACAAGTGGGCGATCAATTGGCAAATCTTTGAGATTAACAGCTTCTCCGAGATTCACTTCCATTTTCTCTAATGACGTTAGACGTTTTGAACTCAACAATTCTGTTCATCACATAATTAGAGTCATACTCATCGAAAATCCTCAAGACTTGTGGTTACAGTTCTTGTCGTATCCAAGAACACACTTGTCTAGTCTGTCAGTTTCTAGGTTTGATTCACATGGCTATTCCCATATACAGGTTCCAAACCACGAGCCTAGTGTTGTCCCAAACCACAACCGAGTGTTGTCCGTTGCAACGCATAACAATAAACCATCGTAACGAAAGACATTAGAAATATCAACTTGATTGAATACACATTTACATATAAAAAGTGGAAACTTTTTGTTACTAAATTAGTAAAATGCCAAATCCTGTATCGTATTGGAAAGCAATTTTGCTCTGTAGGAAGCACATCAACAAGAGTAACACAGTTGTTTTTTCTTTCCTAACATTTTGTTCTGTACAAAACCTCTAACACTTAGGAGGCTAATATAGTTTACAATAGTCTTCCACTACTTTCTTTTTCTAACCAAACGATTTAAATTTATGCAGAATCTCAAACCCCAAACCACATTATCTTTTCTTTTCTCTCTAGCTCTAGAGAGATACAGAATAAGAAGAAAAGAAAAGGGTTAAATATGATTACATTCTACAAGCTATTGCTCTCAACCGGTTGAACCTGTAGGCCTCCTCCTCTGTCATCGTTCACCATCTTTTTTAGGGATCGGTATTGCAGCCGCACATTGTCTCCGCTTTCGACAATCTTTAATAGATACCTTTTATGAAAAGAAATGAGAATGGATTAGTTTGAGAATTGAAACTCAACAACTCGCTTTACCTATCAAGCATAGTTTTGTTTCAGCTCTTATAGATCATAGAGTAATAGTTACCAGCCATTGAGACATTGAGATGTCACAATTGCTTCTTTTCCAACAAACTTTTCCGGGGTTCTCCGGTTTCCCTGCAATGGGAAATGTGTTCCATAACACGCTAGAACCAAATTATATGCTGGAAGAAATGCATCAGAACCCAAAATAAAAAATAATGGCCTACCTTGATAAGCACTTTCTCATTTACAGCAAATGGATAATGCACCACTCGATGCATCCCATCATCCGTAGCTGGATCTCCATTTTCCTGTAGGGAAAAATTTGGGATCAAGTCGTAACTTTTCTCCGAGGTTCATCAACAACATAAGCTTAAGCTAACCAGAAAACAGATGATGATGCAGGCTGCTAAGTTTGGAGATAATAACTATGTAATCAGAAACCACAAAAGACCCACAAAGCAATTAGTTATATAGAGCTGTGTCAGATCATCTCACCACATCCATTTGATCACTCATTTCTTTTCTACGCCTCCTCATGGCTGCGTTGTGGAAAAGTCTTTTATCATCCTGTTGCTTTATAGCTGAAGCGGCAGCTCTAAGTGCTGTGTTTGACATTAGAAAAGGAATACGGTTACTCGGTTAGGACTGTTTGTCAATGTGAAACCCCAAAAGACTACCGTGGATCAATTTATTTATTGAGGAACACAGATAAGAAGAGAATGAACTTTATAGGAATTACCATGGTTAGGAACCAGAGACCCAGACTCGATTTCTGCATTGCAGAGCGTACATCTAGACTGTGCATAAGATAATTGTGGTTACTAAATATTCTTGGGTATATAGGAAGAACCATCACATGAGACTAGCATATTAATAGATCGAAGGAAACTAGTACCAACCATTTCAAGAACTCTTCTAAGCATGAGGCCACCAAATGAGTGTCCACAAGAGACAACCATTGCATCTTCAAGAAAAGCCCCACTAACATCAAAGAGTTTGCAACAGACAAATTAGAACGTTGTTTTCACTGCACTTCCTTCGCAAAATTACAGCAACAGAATAAAAAGGTGGAAACAATTGAGCATATTATACAGCTCATGGAGCTGGTAACAAAAGATGACAAATTAATGTCTTCAGTGTATGTCTAGTATCTGGCACGCATGCTTAGCTTTGGACCATTTGCTAAATCAGAATAGAAAACTACTTGAGGAGAAGTTTAGAAAAAGGGCTTGCCAGCACTCAAGAAAAACCTAGCTAGGGTACTATTTACGTGACCAGATGAACAAAGATAAGCAATTCATCAAACTAACCATAATAAGAGAGGAGATTTGTTCGTCATGAATAATATTATACAGTAAGGGAAAAATGGTACTCACGAAATTGGATCCGAGAGAACACTTCTTAAGGAAGGCTCTTTGCAAACATCATCCCGCGGAACCTGACATCAACAATTCAGAAGATCTCTTGACATAAGACCTCGTGCTCTGAGCAGTTAACATCAAATAGAGAAACTTATATCATTATAGTATCGAGGTAGTGCCAAACATAAAACAGATCCAAATACGTGAGATCCTCAAAAAGAAAGTAATATAAGTTGCACACCCACTCATTCAAATCTCGATTGAGATTATCTAAAAGAAAAAAGTGCATGATATGAATGAATACGAACGACATAGGACTACTATATATCGTTCCTCAATAAAATTTCTGCTCCAAATGTCAAGGAAATAGACAGATTTGGGTACTAATGGCATAGAACTTCACAGATATCAACGTTTTATATGTTTAAATGTACTTTTTCACTCTAGACAGCTAGTTTTACTACTTTAATAAAGGGTGAGCTTACATTTGCTTTCACAGGCGGATTAACTAGAGTGTCATTCTCGGCCAAGAGGTTATCCATAAACTGACTAACAGATACTGGCACATAGCTTTGAGGAATTACATGGCCGGCTGCTTCTATTGGGGAACAATCTAATATAGCATTACTTTTCGGCATAAGCCTAAAAGCTAATGATGCCCTGCAAGTGGAAAGTTTTAAAATTTTAATCAAATATGTAGGCATGCATTCATGTCATAAGGTTTGTTAAGGAAAAGCTGTCATAAAGTTGAGGAAAAGCTTATTTCTTCTTCAAAAACATACCTTCCGCGAGTGTCAGTGCCAGACAAATGATCGGTAGTAGTTCTGTAAGAGGCAGCTGGACGGAGACCTGCAGTAGCATGACTAAGCGCTTTGCCGGTAATCAATAAGAGATCACCCACCCCACACCCATTATCTGCTGTGTACCAACGACCATTTGGGTCACATACCTAAGGATAGAAGAAATTTCAGAAGTAAAAAAAAATAGAAGCCAAATGTAGTAAATGGAAAAGTGTAATGAATCAAGCAAAATGGAAACTCAGGATTATGGCTGATCATGTCTAACTCATATGATAGTATTCTTACACAACTATTTTGCCCCTCAAAGGATAAAAAATGACATGTTTTCCCATCAAGTTCCTTGCTAAAACAAAAGCATATATGTAACCTTCTATACACAGAAAGTTCATAGAGGTGACCTGAATGCCAGTGCCATCTGAGCAGAACAGTGTCAACAAACCCTTTTCAACTTCAATTTTAGCAGATAGATTCCCACCTCCAGAAGCATGTTTTCCATTTTGTATTGATGCATGAGCATAGGAAGCCAGTAGCACCGAGGAGGAAACCTCGTTCGGAGCTAGTGGAAAGTCATCGAGCATATGGTTAAAAACACTGCAAATAAAAAAGAAATACGCTCATTCTATGAGTTAATAAAAGTAAAGAGGCAAGAAAAGTAGTAGTAAAACCAGAGAATAAGCATCATAACCATCCTACTCGCTTCTTAAACGTAGATGCCTTGCTATTGCAGATAAAGCAGCTCGTGCTACTTTACCCAAGCACCGGAAAATCTCAGCCATGCATGGAGGTGAAGAATCTAAATCTTCAACAGATCTGTTCACAATAACAAAAATCAGTCTCTACACATCATATAGATCAAGAACTGATAACTACATGTCAAACTTTCTAGATTTCCAGAATCTCAAGCATAAGCAATGAAGAGTACTACAATCAAACCAATTTCTCAAATTCAAAAACGCAAAACCAATTCTTTCTACAAAAACAAAAACCAGTGAAGAAGAGAGAGCTAACCTTCCAGCTCTATACATAGAGAGGCCACGATTGCCTTTACCAGAAACATTAAGGCTTCTAGTTCTAAAATACAAACGAGCAGCTTCAAGTCCACATCGCATCAGTGCAGTGTCATCGCTCCCTATTTCGATCACAGACGCATTATACCTCATCAAAGACACAGACAAAGCCTCCACGGCTTTTGCATACACCGGAGAAGGAGCTCCTTCATAAGGCAAAATATCAGATAATCGAACCCTAGCAAGAGGAGTCCCAGACATCATCAGCATTGGATCACCGGAAGGGTAAGCAGCAGAAATCGGCGAAACTGGAATCGCGTGAGATAAAGGAGACTTGGTTAAGCCAGTAGGTACATCAGAAGCAATAGAAACGGCGACGTTATAGCTTGAAGGCGTAATCGGAGACGAGCCCTGCCGGTGCATCGCCACTCCAATCAACCATACGTCTCTAGGGTTTTCCGATTCCGATTCAGTTACCGGCGTCGGAAAAATGGATTGAAATAGTAACGTGTCTCGTTGAAGTCGTTGAGATCGCTGTCACAGAGAGGAATTGTGATTTTACGACTGTACGGAAACCTTACTGGTCCGAATTGGGTAGGCGATGAGTAGCTTAGTAACAAATTGTAACCATGAAACGCCGTCGAAGGGTATATCGCCGTCAATATAGTGGAGAATTGAGCCGGAAACGTTGGATTCGCCGGAGAATTGTGATTGTGAAAATTTCTTATGTAGTAGACTCTGGTTTTTTGGCTTTGTAATTTTACCTTTTTGGTCAAACTAGCTACATATTCAAATTGGAAATGATTTAATTTTTTTCTTTTTCCCTAAAGTGTAGATGAATTTTTTTTACTACAAAAAAAATACTGAGAAGAAATTACAAATTAAATTTGATGTACTTGTAAAATAATACTATCTGGTGAGAGAATAATAAATTAATGGAATCATTTATATTAATTTTATTTAAATTATATTATATTTTTAAAAAATTATTACTACACATGACTCAACGACGCAATTATATAAACACGCGATATAGACAGGAAAAATAAAAAATGTCACTACTCATAATTTTATATTTTGTAAAAAATTGCAAATTGCGTGAATATGCTTGTTAATTGGTCAAAACTTTAATTAAGAGATTAAATTTGACAATTGCGATGTAAGTTTGGTGATTATAGAACGTTACCTTCATACAAATCTTTTTAGTGTAGTATCATTAATGTGTGGGCAAATATAATCAATACTTAATGTCCTACATATTGATTAAAAAAGAAATAGGGGTGATGATGGTGAGGATGTATGGGGGATGGTAAAGATGATGAAGATGTTTTACTTGTTTAGTGGTTGTGGTGATGAGAAGGAGAGGGATGCTTTTGAATTTTCATGATGAAGTTAACAAGCATACGTTGATGATGTGAGTCATGATGTGTATCGTGATGTGACAACATCATCAATAATAGTAGTTATGATAATGATGATATGATCTTTTTCTCATTTTATGAGGAAAAAATATAACTTCAAATAAATGATGATGTAGGACGTGGAGGTGGATGAGTGTGATGATAATGATGATGAAAGATAAGCATTCTCATTATGAGTTGTATAAAAAAGCATCACGATGTTCCAACATGATGTTGGTTTAGACTAAAACTTAGTACTCCGGAGCAGGACTTTCCCAACTAGAAACCGGAAACAAGCATTAATTCAGATTGATACCGGACTGCGAAACCAACACTCTGTAAAATCCACACTTTCTTGATGTATCTTAACATCTTAATATGTACTAAATCCATTTAATCTAGGAAAAATTGGAATAAAAAGATATCTACTTAAAAATTTGTCCATATATCCATTTTTTTTTGTAGATTGGTCAAATAGGTTTTTTAAAAATCAAAATCCAATTTTACCCTCATTTTCTCTTAAATTTCATTTAAAAAAAAAAACTTCCTAATTTATTTACAAAAACCTAGTTATTAATTAATAACTAATTACTTATTCAGAGATACATTTACATTACTATATATATATATTTGTTTCCATGGATAAAGTATGATATAGACGTGTGATATTAAAGACTATGGACAAACGTTTTAACGTTTAAGCATTGTAGGAAGTTTGTGTTTGCCGATCATGATGACATTAGGGTGAGGTTAGGAATTTAAAATAGTGGTAAGACGACAGTTGAAAAATATTGGATAAAGAATATATCTAATTGGTAACATGTTCATGATTTAAAAAAAAAAATAAACAGATAACAAAAAACATTATGTTAAAGTGTTAATTTGGTAGTCACCAAAGTGGTTAATCTCTGATCACAACAGTTGTTGGCTTGTTATCATAACCTAAATTCTTGAGTAATAGATGAATTTTTTGAAATAAAATTATGATACTTATGTTTGTATTCCAAAAAATGAATTGCATATGGTTAGATTATACTTACGTGGGAAAAAAAAATTGTAAGGAAAACTGGATCCAATGGTCATTTGTTTAGTTCTTGATGTTTTATATGTTTAAAAAAAAAAAGAATTCTTCAGAATTTTTGTAAGTCTTCTTACATGCTTTTGCAAGTTTTTTGGTAATGCACCAATCTCCCACGTTTTTTTTCATCAATAATAAGTCTCCACTTTTTCTTGTCATACAATCTCCACACAAATCGTTGAAAAAATAAAAAAAAGAATTTGAAGGAAAAACGCAGGACATAGCAAAAAAATCGAAAGTGATGGCTTAGCTTAGGGTTTAGAAAACGGTTTAGGTTTTTATCTTTGTCTAAAAAACGTAGACAACAACTTCTACATCTTGTAGATCGTAATCTAAACAATAAATATTCATTTAAAACGTAATCTACAATAAATATTTAGTTTCTTTTTCTGAAAATTTACTTTCTATATTTAGAGCATTCTAAAAATTACAGAAAACGAAATCTACAATACCGTAGAATTTACATTCTAAACGAATATTACAATTTCTAACGATGGCAGAAGATGTAGAAATTATTAGAACGGCTATTCAAAAAAATTTAGAACATAGAGCAAAACGTAGAATGCATGTTCTGAATATTTTAGATATATGATTTTCGGATTACTAAAATTTTCAAAACATAAATTTAGTCTGAGTTTCGCAGAACTCTAGAATACGTGTTCTACCAAAATTAGATGAAACTTTATCTATCAAAAAATCAACTTTTTTAAACCAAATCTAAAAAATTTCACTTCAAATCACCTCTACTCTTGTATATCTACCTATTTTTATGATTTTTTTTTTTAAACATGTAAATTAGGGTGGAGGGGTAAAATCGTCCAAACTGACAATCTCACAAAAAATGTGTATATGGACAAACTTTTAAGTAGATATCCTTTATTTCTAATTTTCCCAATAATAACTTACAATTCAATTATCATATAATAAAGACCATATAACTTAAAACAAAACTAACCATGCATCCTAGAAAAGTAATTAAACATACCCATGAATTAATGAAAGAATGGTCCCAAAGCTATATTTTTCTTTTTTTTTGGGACAAAGCAGGCTCAAAGGTCCCAAATGAGAAAAAATGAGCATGTGGTTGCTTTTACACATAACAACCATCGAGGAAGATTCACATAGATGATACAATTTCAACACATGGAGATATTTTACAAAGAGAGTTCATGTAAAAATTTGTGTCTACTAAATACACATGTACATATATACTACCTGATTTTGGACATCAAATATAGCAAAAACCTCTGTTTCTGCAAATCACCATCACAGAAGAGCCTTCCAAAAGCCTTCAAAATGAATTGATGACGATAAACATAGAGACAAAACCTTTTGCTTTCTTGGTTTAGCAGCTGTAAACCGGTCGATTTTTACTTGTAAATCCATTCGTTTGCTCGTCCCCCTGTCGAATCCATGTCTATGAAAATGCTGACAGCCTGCAAGAAGAGGAGAAACCATCCATGTCGATTTTTAAACTTGAAAAATACGGGGTTTATCAAAGTGGTCTCTAATTGACCGAGATGATCTAACCAATATATGTCTGAAATCTATGATCTCACCTTCCCTATCCGGGGTCGCTCCTTCGACTTTGCTAGGCTGTTACGGATATGGGAGACTGCTCCCCAGCATTTCAACATGTTGGCTACATCGTCAAGTCTCAGAATATATTCTTCTTCGGTTAGAGGAAAAGACCTCTAGGCGTTGAAGAAGAAGAAAGAAAGATAGAAAGGTGAATTAGCTTACAAGGATTGACTTGCAAAGGCATGAGCTATACCAAGAAAATATGGATGTACATATCATCTTTTTATGTGGCAAATATTCTCATACCAAATTCGAATTATATGGAAAAAGAAGATCATAACCATTGAAGTTCAAACACGTATAGTGAAATCAGTTGAACTACCATATCATTAGGCTTCTTTAATGATCAAAACCACAGCAAAAGGATTCTCTTACCTGTTCTCTGTACTTCCACATGACATTCATTGCAAGAAGATTCCGCCCCATGAACTCCTACAGTAATCACATCAAGAACTATGATTTATGTTCTTAGCTTCTAAAGCGACAAATCTTTCCAAATTGATAAAATAAAGGTCACAGCAAGAATCAGAAAATGAAAAGGGACATGAAGAATTGAAATTCGCAAAAGCTGATTCTGTATTCATGCAATTAAAGGAAGAGGATTGGAGGTCTGCAGATAAATCGAGATGCCTTAAGCTATGGCTTTAAAATGCGATACAGAATCACAAACACACTTGAATACAGAAAGGCATACCTTCTTGATGAGTTGAACATCATAAGATTTTCCATACTTCTGTCTGATGAGGGTTGCAAGATCTAAGCCGTTAAATGCAGAATCATCTGACCCAACCATTCTTTCAAGATTTGCCCGATTCATATCATTCGCTTGCTAAAGAATAAGAAAAAAAGAATAATTCAAAATGATCAGATGATATCAAGCAACCAATAAATTTAAACAAAGGCATGCTTACTTGTTGTGTCACTAAGCCATGACAGACATGGGCAGACATTAGGACATCAAAAGAACTAAAGAAATCAAATTAGTTACACACTTTTTCCAGGATCAAGCATAAGTAGATCAGCATTCTTAGTAATCTCACGACCTAGAGAGTTTAAGGCTTTCATGTACAAAAAGGATCAAAACCCATTGACTATTTAACATAACTCTAGTGTATAATTCACACGGAAACTAAGTCTCGGTTCTTACATGTCAAGTCATGACTTCACCCTAAAGGACAGCAAAAAATGGCCGGAGTTCAGAATGCTTATAGGTTTCTAATACATACCCTTTTAGTTTTATCATCGAGTGATTCCTTTGCCTCGTCATCCGAATTATCTGGATTCATCTCATCATCCACAATACTGCAAATCCTTGAAAACCTTCTCCTAGCAGTTTTCCCACAAGTAGTAGTCTTCAAGCAAAGGCTATGAGAGAAAGCAAGTCTTCCAGAGAAACACGGACCGCAATATCTCGAACAAGAAACCTTAGAAATTGTTCCTATACTGCAACGTTCGTGTATAACCGATGGTTGACAGTGATGATGACTTGAGACAATGCTCATCATATCCTGTAAAGCAGTGAAATTCCAAACCATAAAGCAATTTGAAGAATCTAAAAGAGAATGAATCTAATTCTCAAACCAACAGTGAACACAGTGATACAGAATCTAAGTAGAGAAACCAAAGCAAAAGTTCCTGATAAAGTGATTTCACAGACAATTGCGTAGTGATTGTTTAAAATATGAATCTCGTAGCCTCATAATCAATCTCACTCGTTTTATCTTGTAAGAGATTCATTGAGAAATCGCTTTTCTGCTAACTAAACATGAACAAGTGAGGGAGAGAACCAATGAAGCAGAGACTTAATTCAAGAATTTACCAAGAAGCAGAGGGAGAACGTAATCTTACCGCCGCAAGAGCTGGGGAAGAGCACGGCGGCGATGCGGAGGAGGAGATTAAGAGAAGGAGGACTAAGAGATAAATAAAAAATCAGTGAACGGTGAAGGAGGAAACAAAAATATAACTCTTAAAACTTAGCGTATAGTTTTCTTTTTCCCTATATCATAAGATTTGCTAAAACTTTAAAATATATAAAAAAAACGTCTAAAATAAAAATACATGACTTGTAAAAACACAAAAATATCATCTTAATCCAAATTGTTTTTGGTGTAATGGTTTAGACATACATGTATCAGAAATTCACAATCCGGATTGCAGATTGCATAATATTGTAGGGGAAAGAAATTGCTATGGTATAAAAAATATGACAAAAGTATAAACTTGGATTAATAACTAACAAGTATGTTGAATGAATTTTCAGGATAAAATAAATATTGAATTGGTTATCATAATAAACAAACAAAGTTTTTTTTCATTAAGTCAAGGTTTTGGACTTTTGGTTACTTGCACGTTTCAGCAAAAAAATTGTGGCGTCTCGGCCCTTCCACACATTGACGCAGAATATCCACTTGGTCTTCGCTCGTCTCATTATCTGAATGTTTTTCTTACAACATCGACGCATGAGATTTCATGCTAAAACATCTTACATATTTATATTTTTGTTTTTATTGAGTAAAATACCAAAATGTTTTTTTTTTTTTGTTAAAGAAATACCAAAATGTTTCCAATATCAACATAACTCTTTTGAGTCAAAACCGAAGATTTTTTTCTTTTCTTTTTTCAACAATCAAATTTTATTTAAATCTCATATGTTTTTTTTTTTTTTTTTTTTTGAACAACAAATCTCATATGTTTATAAGATAAAAATCGCACTGCTTAATAATATGTATCTACTATATATTGTTAGCTTGTGAAAGAAATATTTGGATGCACAAAGATTATGGTCTTGGATGGTTGTAGTCTTGTAGAATCCACTCCAAATCAGATCAAAATTGATCTACATCGAACCAAGAAAACGTATATAAAAACGCAGTGAACAACAATTACAAACCAAAATATCACTATCTATATGTTGTCATTTGGTCTGCTTTAAAAATAAAACATACTCCAATATATAGTTTAGGATACCAAAAGATTGGAATGCTTGGTATAATCCGGAATATATACCACACAACCATTCAAAACCTATATACTGTAATATTCGGTTATGTACTAGGGATTTCAAATAGGCCGATAGTGAAAAGCATCAATCAAGAATGATAATCTGAATCATGACTTTTGGATTAACACATACTACCTAGTGACATTGATGAAACTTCTTAAGAAGAAGAAATACATAAACGAAAAAGGTATAGGTGTAAATGACAATAAATATATATTAGTCGGTGAGTTTAGAAAGAAACGAAAATTAAAGGGGTGTGATTTCGAAGAAAATTTTGCATAGTTTTCAAAATTTGAAATCAGCTAAGAGAGAAAGAGAAGCACCATTTTTCTTTCTTCGTCGAGTCATCGTTTTCTCAGATTCCTGAATAATTCCCTTCCGATTCCAAAATCCCCAAACCTCATCGACTCCACCATCTCCCGGATTCGGATTCGAAAATCATGCCTATGGAGAACAACAATGGCCACGTTGGCAACGTCGTCGTCACCGCCGAGCAAGCCACCAAGATTAACGAGACTGATGGACGGTTACCGGAGAATCGGCAGACCGGTGTTGTCTCAGACACCGGAAGTGGTAGCGAGAGAGGAGAGCAAGGGGATGGAGAGACGCCAGTGCCGGTGCCGGTGACGGTGGAGGAGAGCGGATCGATTTTGGTGGGAGACCTACCTGCTCCCCGATCTTCCTCCGCTAGAGTTCCGTTCACTAATCTAAGCCAAATTGATGCAGATCTTGCTCTTGCTCGCACACTCCAAGAACAGGTGGGTCTTTCTTTCTCATCTGTCTATTTCGGATTTCTGCGTTTTTAGGTTATTCCATGCTTGTTAGGGCTTTCTTGGTGCTACTTCTCTTGGATACGTGGAAATCTTAGGGCTTTCTTTTCAATTGCATTTGGAATTTTGATTTTTCAAAAGGCTCTATGTAGAATTGAAATTTGTTGTTTTGTATGTGTGTGTGTATGTTTCGGGTTCCAGGAGCGGGCGTATATGATGCTGACCATGAACAGTGAAATCAGTGACTATGGGAGCTGGGAAACTGGAAGCTATGTATACGATGAGGATGAGTTTGATGACCCTGAGAATGAGGATGAGGATGACGATGAAGACGAATATGAAACAGATGATGATCCTCAGGAAGATGCGCCCGTTGTCGATGTGCACGCTAATGAAGATGATCAAGAAGATGACGGCAACTCTGACATCGAAGAAGTTGCTTATTCAGATGATGAGGCCTATGCTAGAGCTCTTCAAGAAGCTGAAGAAAGGGATATGGCAGCTAGATTGTCTGCCTTATCTGGGTTAGCAAATCGTGAGTACACTTATAGCTATCACCCAAGTTCTCTTTGCTGGGCGTTCTAAGATACATTTTGGATTATGCTAACTGTTATTGGTTGCAGGGGTGGTTGAAGATCTAGAGGATGACAGTCATACTTCTCAGGTAGGCTCCTTACACTACAGCAAATCTTTATTTATCTTGAGCTGTAAACCTTTTTCAGATTTTTTGCTTGAGAATATGAGAGTATGAACCTTTTTGCCCCAGTATGTGAAAAGAACTACTGTCCAACCCCGTTTTTGTTTAGTCATATAGTGGCCAAAGGACAAAGTCGTGACGTTGAACCCGCTATTGTCTAGTTATACATCTTACATGGTTCCATCTATCTACTATCCTTCTGTCATGGCATTAGTTTGTTTCGTTTTCGTGACAGTTTAGTCCATGGTGTTAACCATTTTCGTCTGGAGGCTCAGTTAGATACTCTTCCCTGTGTATGGAGTAGTTATTGTTTATAGTTGAGCCAGTCACTGGAATTGTGTGCCATGAATAATTATTGTATAGTCTTACTCAATCAAAATGTTTGGTATTTGGTACTAGGTCATACCTAATTATTCTCGATTTATGCTACTGGAATTTCGACACTTGTATGTTTTAAGGTCAGAATGCATTCACCGTTGAATCAATTGTAATCTGCTAGCACTAACTAGTCACTTGTATTGGAGATGGTTATGCTCACACCTTGAAGTATGGGGCCTCGCGGGTACACTGAACTTTGATAGACTCTAGTCCATTTTGTAGAAAAAAAACAACTAAAAATTAGAATTGCAGGGTAGAGAATAATAGAAACTAAGGCTTCATTGATGTGATTTGAATCTGCTTCCCACTAACGTTCTGTATGATTAATTTTTGCAGGATGCCTGGGATGAGATGGATCCTGATGAGCTTTCTTACGAGGTATGAAAACATTTGTGGTATTCTATGGTATTTGGATGCTCGGTCTCTCTCATGATTGTTGAAATGGTTTATAGTTTAATGTGAATACTATTGTTAAACTTGTTAGAATCTAGTGTTAAGATCCGTCATGCATTTCAATTTTCAATATGCAAAATTCGGATACTTAACACATCTGTTGGCTTATAACTAGACTCTCTAATGTTTGCAGGAGTTGCTTGCACTTGGCGACATTGTGGGAACTGAAAGTAGAGGATTGTCTGCTGATACAATTGCATCTTTGCCTTCAAAAAGATATAAAGAAGGAGACAATCAGAACGGAACCAATGAGTCGTATGGCCATCTGTAATCAATTAAGTAAACCATTGACAATTTTGTGCATGTACCTAGATAATTAACTCTTCCGATGCTTGATGCAGATGTGTTATATGTCGTTTAGACTATGAGGATGACGAAGACCTGATACTGCTCCCATGCAAACATTCTTACCACTCGGAGTGCATAAACAACTGGTTGAAGATAAACAAGGTATGTCTTTTATGAAAAATAACTCTGTAGATAAGCTAAAGGATATAGTTATTGTAGTCAGCTATGTGGAACCTGATAAACTCAAGCAGGAAGTCTGTTTGTAGTCTGTTTTTATCACATTGACAGATACCGTTTTTGTTAAGGATAGACGTATTCACGTTAGAAAGACCGCCACAGCAACTGATATTTCCATAAATAGTATCTGTTTATGTGCGGGAACTTTATGGTCAGTACAGACTATCTCATGCTTGTTGAGTTTATGGATTCCATTTATGTGTTTCCCGATTATGTTCATCAGCATCTTCTAAACTGAGGGGTTTTGTTGCTTAATAAGCAGAAATTTGAACTTGTTAATTCATTAGGAAGACTATCTAGAGTATGGTGAATCATCTCATCAGCTTTCATCACAATTAGGAAGAAGAATTTTTGTCAACATTCATGTAGGAAGAAGCTTTTGGAATAATTCCATTAACAAGCCAAAACTGACACAATCTTTTGCAGGTTTGCCCCGTATGCAGTGCAGAAGTTTCAACTTCCACCTCTGGACAAGGCTGATGAGAGCTAAGGAAGAAAGATTCAGAAAGAATCATAAGCTAAGAACTTCAAAACCTTAGCTGTCTGTTTGTACACTTTTTATAAACGAAAACATCATCAGATTTCCTTGGATCCTTTGAAAAAATCTCAAAGATTGGAACATTCTCGAGCGTTTTTAGTTTTTGCATAATTTCATTGATGTTCACGTATGCTACTGTGAAATAGCTAGGATAATCTGGTTTTTGAAAAGAACATATAAGCTAGAACTTTGATAATCCGAGACTCAAGAGAAACATCGTAAGGGTGGGGGTAGCCTGGTAGGTCTGAAACTTTTGAATAGATCGAAACTTGCCTTATTACCTAAGAGGCTAAGATAAAATGTGTGGACACAGAAGGTATTATCAAAACTCGTAGCAAAGAAAAGTACGACAAGCATATCCATGTTCTCTTTGGAACATGACCATCATGACTAAATTGTATTGGTCGTCTACATGAAAAGTTGGCGAGTGGAATGGCACCAACGGTCATATGCTGGCTGGAGATTGGGCCACTCAGATGCCGAGACTGAGAAATCTTGCAGCCAGTTTGTAAGTAGGATTTCTTGGTCAAGCGCAGGCAAAGTCGAGATTGCTTTGTCTATTGCTCGTTCCACCTCAACCCTCTCATATCCCGTCAGCACGGGAAACGCTAGCCCGTTCCTTGCGTGACTAAACAATGGTAGCCAGTTTGCAAGGAG